GTGAAATGTATTACGCTAATTCTTATTTGCTTTCTTTCTCACAGAGGTGACAAGGGAGATTCTATTAGAGCATCGTATGTGCATCATCTGGATCTGCTGAAAAAGAGTGCTGCTGTTGGGGAGATCACAAGAAGGTTTTCCTCTAATGAGAATACTTTTACTGTTGGAGGGTCATTTGTCGTTGATCACCTGACATTGGTGAAAGCCAAGCTCAACAATCATGGGAAACTTGGGGCATTGGTGCAGCATGAGGTCATACCAAAGTCAGTGCTGACAATTTCCAGTGAGTTTGACACCAAGGCCTTGGACAAAAATCCCAGGTTTGGGCTGGCAATAGCTCTCAAGCCCTGAAGGTTGTCTGCTATTTGATGAGGCATTGTTTGAATCCAATTCTCATTTGTTATATTTTTTTCCTGGATGGCACTTGGAAAGGAGTGTCAATAAGTAGCTCCACATAAACATGTTTCGAGGATTATGATGACTGTGGATGAATTGATTTGATGTTTAGTTTTACCGTGGTCCTCTATTTGTAGGTTTTGGAGGCATTTGATACTTGCATAGTCGTACTCTTTTCCCGCTGAGAACTTCAATTCTGATTTATGGGAATTTTGGCCAATTGCATTTATGATTCGTTCCTCATAATTCAATGGTGGCTGTTCTTTGAGAGTGCCCCAGTTGCCAACTATGCTTAGTTTTTTGTTTTTCATGCTTTTCTGCCATGTTAGAATTGCTTTAAGCAATATAGCAATGCTGTGATTGTTTCAATTGATCAGTTATACAGCAACGCCCTGATGTCTCCGCGATATCATATCAAAAACCTATAATTCTTTCATAGCATGATAACCAGATCTAGATTTGTTCTTGAATAGGATTGGGCCTGCCTTCACTTAAACAAAAGTAAATAAATAAAAACGAAGTTCACAATGGTGATAAAGAACATCCACCATCCAGTTGGTCTTTTTGTTCGATGGAAGGGATTAGATCAATCTGTTTCGCTAAAGTTCTCTCTTTGTAAAATGCAGAATCCCATATTAATGTATATGCTTCTCAATCTGTTCTTTCTTGACCAAATCCTCCCTGGTCTTGTGGTTTATGCAACAATGTCCATGGATAATGCCTTGTTATTTTCTGTGGTGCTGAGATCAACTGGTAATATATGCTAAGTGACACTTATGGACCTGAAAAAGGATTTAGTGACATTATAGTTTCTTTTGGACTTGGTTTTTACAATGATTCTTTTTTGTTTTTGGGGGGATTCGTTTGCCTTGTGGCATGCTATTTAACGATCAGTATATGTAAAGGTGTAGAATTGTAATTTTACCACATACCAAAATTGTAATTGGGCATAAGATACGGCGATAAAAATGTAATTTAAACCCCAAAAACCCTAAAATTTGCTGCGAAGACAGAATTATAATTTTCCCCTCATCATCTTTCCCTTGTTGCGAACAGTGGACTTGTTGCCCGCTGCCAGTGATTGTTGCAGTAGCAGCCAACACTGCACCTGGATACATGCATTAGGATGTTTGTTTTTTAGGTAGATTTTTTTGTTGTGTTTAAAAAATAAATTTAAAAAAAAATAATTGTGTGATTAGTTGGATTTAGATATTTATTTGATAAAAATTATAGTTAAAGTTTATATACAACAAAAATTATATATAAAATATTTGATAGTTATATAATTGCAGTTGTTTTTTAAAGTATTTTTTACTTGAAAATATATTAAAATATATTTTTTTATTTTTAAAAAATTATTTTTTATATTAGCACATAAAAATATATGAAAATATAAAAAATATTAATTTAAAATAAAAATAAATAATTTTTTTAAAATACTTTTAAAATATAAAATAGAGTTTTACAAAATTCAATTCGCCGCCCCAAGCGGGAATAAAAGAGAGATGACGACATATTCTTGTATCTGACAGCTCACACGTGAATGCTGAGTATATTTATAAGATTCTTTCGAACAGTACCCTACCCTCCCGGAGGATCTTATTTTATTTTATTTTAATTATGTGAGAGGTTTTTGTACCAAACTCATGGCTGCAGGATAAGGTTAGAGGATAAGACCAATTTGAAGGAAAGGGAGCAAAACGAAGAAGACCGCTCAAGTCACATGGCAAATTCAGCTCGAAGTTCTCTTACCTGATTTAGACTTTTGTTAACTACCTCCGAAAAAGTTAATGACTTGATTTCCTTGTTTTACAATTCTTAATGCATTAATTACTATCTCTAATTTTCTTTTAAAAACTGAAAGACAGGGATTGAAGTACAAGGTGAGCCATTTATTACATAAAGGGTTGGTGTTTCAAAATCATATAGCCTACAAACTTTTTCGTTTAGTTTTTATAAAGAGGTTGAAATGTTATGTTTTTTATAGCATTAATGATAAATAAATATTTTTTATATAATATTAATAAAAAATAAATATATTATATATAATACTAGGTTTGGAATGATTTCAAACTTAAGGATGATGGGTCTAGCATATTGTTAAATTCACACACACTTAATCTCAATACGTACCTGATTTTATAGGTATTAGGTCTAGTATCTCGTCAAACCAACACGCATTTAGGTTCAGTACATAGCTAAGGCCAAAGATCAGTAGAGTCTCACGTTTCATTAGAATCATATGTATTTTAACATATTTGAACTTAATAAATAACTGAATTCAAAGGAAATTAAGTTTAATACTTTATCAATCCAATATATATTTAGACTATTTACATAACTAAATTTAAATATATTAATTCTAAGTACCGAGATTAAGCATTTAACTCAATGATTATTGGATCTAAAATCTTATTAAACCAAAAAAATTAAATCTATATAATTTAAGCTTGGTTTTCTATCATGTGTCAATATATTATATTATTACCTTACTTTTCCTTCTCGCACGTTTTGACTCTTCAGGATCTATTTGTTCAATGGTTTCTGAGTCTTCTTTTGATGATGCTTTACTTATTGTTTGCCTTGTTTCTACCTTTCGTTTTCTCTGCGTAGTATCAATCTCAGATTCTGCAATGAAAACACCATCATACGATTAGTACCATTACTTTCACAAAAATAAATAAATTTTCCCAGATTCACAATTAAATGAAAAGGCAGTGATGGATATATATATATATATATATATATATATATAATCTGCAGTGGTCCCTGGTTCCGCAAGTGATTATCAGGCAAAAATCACTGGCTAAATTACAATCAGACATTAAATTTGCTACACATTGACGGATCCCATTTCAAAAACTGACCCTAAGAGAAGTCCCTAGCCATAAAGCTAGCAAAATTGGCCTGACAGCTTAAAATATTTATAAGATTCTTTCAAGATAGAAACCCTACTTGAAAAGGACGATTGCATCTCCATTTTCCATTTTATGATGCATGCCCATTAATTTCACGTTGATTTAGTTCGAAATTAGGGTTCTTTCGATGAGGTTAAGCTCTTACGCAACGTGCGAATAGCTTTCAGTGCTAAAAGGGTTGGGAATTCAAGTAGCAAAAATCCAATCCGTGATGATCCCTTTCTATTTTGCCAAAAGAGAGAAGAATATAGCTGTACGACAGTGTATATCCATGTGTGATGACATCTTCTACCAAGCCTTTGCCAGCAGAATAAGGTTGGAGGTGGAGGATAATACCCCAATAAAAGCAAGGGCTTCCCATGAAAAAAGGGGAGCAAAACTGAGAAGACCGCTCATGTTACATGGTTGGTATTATTTTAGACAAATTCAGCACAGAGTTATCTACCTGATTTGGACTTTTGTTAACAACCTGCGAAAAAAGTTAATCGCGCGATTTCCCTTTTTATTCAATCCTTATTTTTTTTAGATATATGGAAACCAGGGAAACTGCAGCTCAGGTGAGAGATGGGTGAGCTGGATTTATTACATAAAGTGTACTTAAGGGTGACATATGTAAGAGCCTCTAACACACTTGCCTGCCGTATTGAAGAAAAAACCCCACAGAAAACAGATGCCACATGCCCGTCAAATTCACAGATGTGCCGCCCGTTCTTGTTGAATACCGCTCGTCTGCGGGGACCCCAACTCAATATTCAATGTTCGTGTTTTTTGGCCTGGACTATAAACTGTAAAAAAATGAAGATTTTTGTTTCAAATTTCCTGTGATCTAGCCTTGCCATTTGGACGATCAGCACTCCTCATGGACCTATGGATCTCTGCCACATACCCTCTCTCACACATACCTAAATCTCTTTTGTCCTATTGGTGTGGAAGTATTCATCCCACGAAAAACAAAGAAGAGAAAGCTGGGCTGGGAAGGTTGAAGAGAACGGAAAGGAAAGTTTTCTACAGGAAGACTTTTGAATGCGCTTCCAAGGAGAGTAGATTTAAAAGGAATCCATGTCATGGCGTGGTCCAGCTGCTTCCTAAGCATAAATACGGTTAAGACACCTTCGAGATGGGCCAGGCGGAGAAACCAGACAAAACAACACTCCCATGTGCAACCCAGATACCAGATCGATTTTGTTTTTGTGCTCGAAAAGCAACCTCGTCGAATTATCATCAATTCTAGCTTAGCACGCTTTTTGCACTTACTAGGCATCTGTCTATGATCTTCGAATCTACACTGCCAAGCCATAAATTCGTAGATGATTTCGGATGAAAGTAGTTGAAGACTAGCTCTAGCCTTTCCATCAAATCATAATAATAATACTCAAGCCAAAAATCACAATACCTGGAACAGTCACAGGAGCCATCCGCAAAGTTGGCACATTCTTGAAAACGTTTCTAAGCACAGATTCAAGTTATTTTGAAAACTGAATTATTAGTAGATTCTCGCTAATTTACATAACACCGAAGTGATTTGTCAAGTGTCCTGAGAAGTGAAATGGCTGCTAGTCTTAGCTGAGCGACTCCAGACCAGACGAGCAAGATTTGCTTTCACTAACGTCAAAGTCAGCCATAAGTAGCAATTAACCACAAACAGATGTAACAAGCTGGCATGAATTATAGTAATAGAAAAAAAGAGTGATGAACCTTGAAGCTGTAATTAGAATTCTTCTTTGATGTTTGAACAGACAATTTCTCTTACAAAAGAATTGAACCAAAAACGAAAGAATAAAAAAAACAATACAAGAGGCAGAAAAGGAGAAAATAAAAAAATAAAAAGAACCTTACATGTAATGAGAAACATAAACACTATCTACTGTATCTTTCTTGCCCAACCGCAGTCATTATTCTGTCCATATAACACAATATTTGTACCTCATATTGGGTGCGCAATGTATTGGGGTTCTGAAGGGTTGGGGGCAATCAAGAAAAGAAGCACTCCCAGCCCGCAGTACAACTTCCCCGTGTAAATTTTCTTTTCAGTGATAATCATACTTCTTGTCCACCCAAGTCGCCTATGTTTATATCGGCAATATATCTCACAAAATCTGTCATGCTTCCTTCACTGAACCTGCTCTCCTATCAAATCTAGACCGACAAGCAAGAATGATATCCCTTGAAATAGCAAGAAGTAGAAATGAATCCCCTGAGCAGAAAGCAAACTCCTTGCTGAAGCCGTTAAGAGAAGGAAAGCCAGTGCCAACTCTTTCATATATATTCTATTATGCTTCCTTTTTTTCTTAGCCTTTTGATCTTGTTGCATAATTTCTTCCTTCAATTCTTCAAGATTTGGCTCTGAAGAACCCCTTTGATGCTTTGTCTCTTTCTTCGCCAAGGAAACAAGATCACCCTCAGAAGAGCGGCCAGACTTCTTAGTAACAACCCATTCATAGGCACTTCCAAGCTGGAATAGGCCAGAGATCATAGCATTGAACTTGGTCACTGACATAGTGTTTTCAAACAGAAGGTAAGGGACAATGAAAGGGAAGGATTTGGGGGCTGGGAGAATGTTGAGAAATGACATGGTAGCTGGAATGTAACACACAACCCATGCTGGGAGCTCAGCCTCTGGTATAAACATCGTCATGGGGAGAATTATGCAGAAGAGTGTGAAAGAATAAAATGGTAGGATAAGCTTTCTAAGCAGAAAGAAGAGAAAAACCATGTTGAATTTCTTCCATATGCTAATCTACAAAAGACCAATACAACAAAGTCAGCAAATAGTGCCCGCACAAAAACAGGGAAAAATTGTAATTAGAACAAAGAGTTTTTGAAAAAATATATACCTTGGATCGAATAATAGCAGGTAAACAGAGTCTAAACAGCTGCATGGGTCCAGAATGCCATCTGTGTTGTTGCTTTCTGTATGCTTCATATGACTCAGGCAATTCACACTGACACTGAACATTTTAAAAAAAACTACTGTTAAACCACATTAAAACCATTGACTACTACTAGTTTGGTGAGAAACTCACTGAAATCAATGACAAAAACATCTGGTAATATAAAACTAAAAAGAAATATTTATTATACCTCAACATCATTGAGGAAAATGAATTTCCAGCCATGAAGATGGGCACGAACAGCAATGTCCATGTCCTCAACAGTAGTCCTCTCTAACCAACCACCAGAATCTTCCAAAGCTTTTATCCTCCACACCCCAGCAGTCCCATTGAATCCAAAGAAGTTAATGAAAATACCATTCACTTGCTGCTCTACTTCGAAATGAAATGCTAAATTAATGTTCTGCAACCTAGTCAACAAGTTCTCATCCTTGTTCACAAAAGACCACCTTGCCTGGACAAGCCCTAGCTCCTCATTACCCTGTAATGCCACATTCAATTTCAATACTTGCGTCTTTAATTACTAGAATGGTTGAATTAGCTGCTTATCCTATTATGCCACAGAATTTCACATGAATCAACTCAAATTCGATCGAAATAAATTGTATAATAAGGAATCAAAGTGAAGTACCTTGAAGTGAGGGACTGTTCTTTTAAGAAAGTCGGGGGTTGGCTGGAAATCGGCATCGAAAATAGCCACAAATTCATAGTCTTTGACATAGCTACAATTCATAGCAGACTTGAGATTACCAGCTTTATAGCCATCTCTAATTACACGATGCCTATACAAAATGTGGGCACCCTCTTGCTGCCATTTATTAACCTCCTCTTTAATCAACAATTGCGTAGTTGGATCGTCAGAATCATCTAGAATTTGTATTAAAATCTTCGATTTCGGCCAGTCTAAATTACACACAGCTGCAATAGATTGTTGATAAACCTACGGGAAAAAAAAAACGAATAAAACACCAAGTAACCAAATAAAACTAAAGAGCTAAAAATGTGAAATTGAAGTTACCTCTTTCTCATTGCACATGGGAATCTGGACAAGAACCATGGGAAAAAATCCATTTTCACCAGATTCAAGATCAGCAGCAGCGTCTTGTTTTGGGATTGGTTTAATATTCTTAAACCGGATCCAGAAACAGCCCAAACAAAGAACAAGCCTGTCAACACTCTGGACAAGGAAGAGCACAATACACGCATTGGCTAGAAATTGCAAAGGAGGAGCAAGATACTCCACACGAAACAAAACCCACCGTGAATACAAGGAATCAAAGATATCTTGAAACCCAAATGGCATCGCTAATAAGTACTGCAATTGCAGATGTGGAGCTCCGAAATGCCAACCCTTAAAATAAGCGGCAACTTCAAATCCTAACAGCAAAACTGACAGCCAAAGAAAAATCTTGATGAAAGTATAGAATCTAGTTTTCACTGTTGGGTTCTCATTTTCCCGGTCGATGTCGGTGGTTTCGATGTCGGTGCGGCCAGAGTGGATGCGGCGCTTGATAGCGGAGCCGAGAGTGACCATTGCGGTGGCAATGGAGGTCAAGCAACCGGCAGCCTTGTGGGCTTTTAAGAGAAGGACCCATGTAAGTTGTTTAGCGTTTTTGTTACGTGATTTGTCGCGGCCGAGTCGACTCGGTGAATCAGTGATTAAGAAGTCTTCCTCTGATGGACCTTCAAGCTCCACCATTGACCAGTTTGGGTTCTCCATTTTGACTACAACCGGTGTTCCTCTATGGCTGTCCTTTGTCCACCAGTCAAACGGGGGTGCCATTCTCGTTTATTTGAGATTCTGATCTTTAAAACAAAACAAAGTTTTTTTAAAAATAAATAAACGGGACTCGCCGGAGAAAGGAAGAAAAGCGTCAAAAATCCGTCCTTTATATTTGTTTTGAGGCTAAAAAAAGGGCTATAAATCCTATACCATAATGTGAGACGGAGAACGCGTGGAGGATGAAGGGGAAAGCAACCAAAGCGAGAAGTTTCTAAATTACGGTGACATAGGAGACACTTTATACCATAACTATTGTTAAGAGTTCTTCTTAGAAGATGGAGGGAGATGAAACAATTTGTTTCTTGAGAGAGGGAAAGAGGGTCAGGATTGAGGGCTGGGGACGAGTCCAAAAGAGCTCTCACTCAATTACAGCTTTCAATGGGATTATAGAGAGAGGGAGAGTGATGTCCAGAGAGATTTGATTAGGGACAAGAGAAAAAGGTAACAGCTCAACACGTCTTTTTGCTAGAGAATTGAGAGTTTTTGATTCTTTAAAGGGAATCAAATAATTGATTTAAAAAATATTTGGTGAAATGTCTATGTAGATTAGGTGAGGGAGGGCCTGGAGCCCCTTTGACAGTAGACCACACAGGGAGATGAATTGGAGCGCAGACACGCCCATAGCACGTCCTGTGTCAATGGCGAGGGAGCTTCCACTTCCAAGCATTGTTATGGAAAGAAATCAACCATGGGATTATTAGGGCATGCTCTCGCGTTAATTGCAAACTGATCATTGCATGCTTTTCGACGAGGATCTTGTTTTGCCTAATTCATTCTCCTTCACTTTTTACCTCCTCCAAGAAAAGGGAACGCCATTAACATAGAATATCAGAAGAGTTTCCTTTCCGAAGATTGCCGACGCTAGATTCATGCGTTTCCTTTCTATAAAACATCTACCAATTAATGCCTGACAATCTTTTTTTCATGTATTTTCGTCAACCGCTGTTCTTTTTTCTATTCTGCTGCTTCTTCCTTTTTTTATTATGTATAGAATTTTCTGTCCAGGACAAAATTAGAATAATAGTGCATTATATTAATTTAACATTTTATTTTAACAATAAAAAGATATTCTCAAAAAGAAAGAATTATATTCGGCGGATACAGGAGAAAAAATACCGGACAGGACTAATTTGGACCTAAAGATACAATGGCGTTTGGAGCTGCCGACGTATCTCCAAATGCGTGCTTAAAAAAAATAAAAATTATAATTTTTTTTATGTATTTTTATATTTTGATATGCTAACTTTAAAAATAAATTTTTAAAAATAAAAAAATATTTTAATATATTTTTAAATAAAAATATTTTAAAAAATAATTATTATAACAATTTCAAGCATTAACCTAGTATACATTGTCAATCTCACTTTTATATATGTTATTATAAAGTTAAAACATGTAGCTTTTTTTTATTATTTATCCTTTCACATTTTACCATGGATTGGAGAATTGAAATTTTTAAAAGTTTTAAATTTAATTTTTAAATATTTTTATAATTAAGTCATTTTAAATCCAAATTAAAACTCAACTGTATATTTTCAGAGGGTAAGGGTTGAATTGAAACAAGATAACTAAAATGATAAAAGCTGGTAAAATTAGTGGTAGTTATGCAATTTATTTGAAAATTTTATTTTTATCCCTCGTCTTTTTAAAAAATTAGGTATTCGATCCTTATAATTTTCAAAAAAAATATATTTTAATACTAAATTTTATT